TGTTTGTGTGTTCTTATCTCAAGAGTTAGTAGTCAACACATAGTGGCTTTAATATTGCAAAACATGCCTGTAATAACTTGTCCCTATGTCTTTCTTCTTACAATTACAAAGCTCTGAAAATAACAGAGCAGCTAGTAGTGTGGTACCCCCCCCCCCCCACACACACACCACTTACGGTAAACGTTGCTTCTTGCTTCTCCATTTCCTGTAGCAGACACACTCACTTCTTGTATTATACTGTTGAACTGTTGAGATTTAAGTGCAAACAACACACATACAAAAGGTAAAGCAATCGTTTGGAATCATCGGATAACAAGATCATTAGGACAAACAAACACAAAGCTGTGTGGTTCTGACTTTAAAGCCGATTTTATATTTATAACACTGAAACATTTGAAGTGATGATGAAAGCTCTATTTAGCTTGTATTCCCTGTTTTATATTGATCTGATTGATCCCACATTTACTGTAAGTTGACTCTCACTGACCCCATTTACAGCAGCTGAAAGAAGCAGTTTTAAGCAAAAGCTCTGATAATCCCACTGTACACTACCAGCCCAACACCGAAAGGCAGGCAGATAATGAAGCGACTATTTGTCAACAACGTGTAGATGGAACAGAAATAATATGGTGTGTTATAACCACTCCATTATTTTTGGAGACCAAAAAAAGTGATCCAATCATTGCTTGTTGACTTTTAGCCCAACTGCGCAGCGGAGGGAGGCTTCTGCGTCTCCAGCCCCAAAGTGGTCTCAAAAGCCACAATCTTTGGGTTTTTAAAATAACTAATGGAGTAAATTTCAGCTGCCATCCACAGAAAGTGGTTCAGCAGCAGCAGCAGCCGCCAGTAAGCAGGTGTTGTTCCAAAAAATGGATCAGGTTGGGCAAGCAATGACAAATTAGACTGTAAGTAGGGGTGTGCATCTGCACTGGTCTCACGATTTGATTATCAGGTCAACGATTCGATTCCTTGATGCATCACCTCAAGGGTGGGAATTTCTAGTTACCTCATTACGATTATGAGGCTACGATGTGATTGTAAAACGAATAGGATACAGATGAATTTTTTTCACTGTTTGACTATTTGGTACTTTTAAAGCAAAGTATTTGTTACAATCCAAAGTAGTAGGTTGTCACTTCATATAATGTATTGTAAGTTGATTATTGTAATCTTGTATTGAGCACCATGGGATTGAGAAACAGTATTTCGTTCATTTTGTGTACTCGATATGTGGATGAATGACAAACCAACTTTACAGCAGCCAAATAACATCTTGCTCAGCTAAAAAGACTGCAGTCTGAAGAGGAGATGTTTGCTAGAACTAACTGCCTGCTTTCTAGTTTGGAAAACGACAGACAGACTTTAATTAACGGACACGCAGTGACCTACACTGTCGGTGCCAAACAGGGAGAATCGCACAGACGGACCGGATTCCTCCGTTTCCGAGTTGCGACTTTTTCGTTCAGTCAACATTACGTTATCAATTAACCTCTAGATAATCGATTAACATTTGTTAAGCATAATCGTCCAAGTCCGCATCGCGATGCATCTAAAAATCTATTATTTTCCACACCCCTACTGTAAAGTGCCCACATCTTTACAGAGACATACTCCCTCAATATCACAGATCCAGCACTTGGTGGGCCAGACCATGTTCCAAGCTGTCAGTACAAGACCCCAGAGAGACCCCCAAAGGCGGACTCTGTGTTTACATCGATGATGCTTGGTGCTCAAACAGTCAAGATGGACACTGTTTCCCAAATGTTAGGGGGTTTTTTATGGAAGATGAAACCCATATCATCATCTTGCTTCTGCTATCAACATTCTCCCCAGAATTCAAAAAATGAATGTATGGGTGTATGTATATATTGTTTTTGTTACAATATTTAATATACCTTTTAAGTTCTGTGCATGAAGGAACTACAAATTTTGTAACCCATACTAAAGATCTCTGCAGAATTAGGAAATCACAAAAGATAACAGATAATAAAACTTGCAAAAACAAGTAATGTCATTAGTACATCAGTATTTATTATCATGCTGCATCTAATTAGCTACAATTGTATTTGAGGTTTTAATATATGAATGATGCACAACTTTAAGTGAAGGTGGTGAAACCTGAAAGCCTAATATATTAAGAATGGCAAAGAGAGGGAGTGTGAATGAGTATTTCTACAGTATTTCTTATGAAGACTCAGATACTCATGACGACCCACCCCCCAACACTATGCTGTGAAAAGCAAAGCTGATTAATGAGACAATGTGTGTTTGTGTGTTCTCACTTTAGAGATTCTCATGCTGTAGTAGTTTTCCCTGTTGAAGTGGTACCTATCAGGTTTTGACCTGCCTGGAAGCCAGATGGACACATCCAGATTAATTTCATGTTCCTTAGCATTGGTCCAGTACTCAGCTAGAGCCTGGTACACCATTATAGTAGCCTGAAGAGAGAGACACACAATAAATAACTTGACCTCATATTACAAAAAAAATTAAAAACAAACAAGCAAAAAAGTGCTAAAAAAGCATTATAGACACAATGTATCCAGACATAAAGAGAAGGAGAGTCCCCTGTTACCTGAGTTGATCCATAGTCACCGTCCACATTCTGTTGTTGGTTGAGCCATTTGACCACAGAACTGGCTTTTTCAAAGGCCTTTAATATCGGAAAGCATGAAAAAGGGTTGAAATTTCTGCTGTTTATTAGCTACTAGCACCATTATCAGTAGGTCAAAATGACTGACTTGCTCAGTACTTTAACCTATAAAACTAATGACATTCCCATCAGCCTCTGCTGTACTTCGTTTTTAATGCCAATTAGCAATTGCTACAAGCTAAAATCAGATGGTGAACAAAGTAAAATTACACCTGCTAAACATCAGCATATTAGCATTGGCTCTGTGAGCATGTTGATGTTAGTATTTACCTCAAATCGCCATTGTACCTACCTACAGGCCCACAGAGTTGCTAACATGAATGTAAGATGGATATATTATAAGATGCTAAAGGCTATTTATTACACTACATATTTTAAGGACAGTTTTTAATGGTAATAACAGAAATACAAGACAATCGTTGGTAATTTAAAAAAGAAATGTAAAAAAACAAATTCATCTCTTTTAGAAAACGTTCTAGTCTGGGAAATGCCTGTCTTCACCAACCTTCTGCTCTTGTAATGTAGTAAGCTTTTTTGTCTCCGTGGTATGTTTTCCTTTGCATGGTGAAACATACATAATCCTGTGACGTGTCATGTTGTTGTTTCCTGTTTATTTTGTTAAATCCTTCGTCTTGTGTCTTTGTGTATTTTCCCGCTTGTTTAGTTGTCTCCCTTGCCCTAATGAATTGTCCTAACCAAGTGTCCTTGGTCAAGACACTGAACCCCAAATTACTCCTGATGTGCAATTTGTAACTTGCATAGCAGCCTCTCCTGTTAAAGGGGTTAATGTGACATGTATGCTAAGCGCTTTGAGTGGTTGGAATACTAGAAAGGCTCTAAGTACAGTCCATTTACCACCTGTGCCTTTTTAACCTCCTGTCTTGTGTGTATTTATAGACCGGTGTGTTTCCTGTTTTTGTTTTTTTAGTCTTTGTCTCTTGTCAAGCGTTCTTGCCTTATCACCAGTGTTTTCCTGTGCTTTAGACCTTCAGCCTTGGACTTATTGTTTTAGATTTTAGCAATCTTTCTGAATCTTTTCTGTTATTAAAACCTTAAAAATGAACCTGCTCTGCCTGTGTCCTGCATTTGTGTCCTAATTGCTTGATTTCATGTGTCTGCGCGACTTCACATGACAACATGCTTACCTTGGCCTTCACCAGAGCAAGAAGCATAAGCTGTGGCCTCCAGTGTGTAAACATGTCCCTTAGGTACAGGCCAGTGGGACATATCTGCAGGACACACACACACACAGTTGTATTTCCATCACTTTCGGGGACTTAACATTGGCCTACATTCATTCCCTAGAGACTGTCACATAACCACTGACCCAAACCTAACCAGGACCATGTAATTCATCATACTTAGCCTAACACATTGCCTTATCTGTCACTACCCTAAAGGCCAAAATACTTGTTTGAATATCCTCATCTCTCAGGGCAGTCCACTTAACCTAACCACTCAGTACTGGACAATGTCCACCCAGGTAGTAACCATAGGTCTACCTCTAAACAGCCACTCACTCCTTTGCACCCTGATCCATGTGTTTTGGCTTCTCTGCTTCAGGATTGAACCCTGCTCCTCTGGCTGGGGAAACAGGACTCTGCCCACCATGCCACCAGCCTGGTGTGGGCCACCTGCTTCTGTGGTAGGGATGTCACGATTCCAGAAATGTTGTAGTAGATACCAATACAATTCCACGATTCTCAATACCAATTCGATACAATGTTATAAAACGAAAACAAAGCCCATGTACTTCAACATACACTCTGAACATTACATAAAACATCTAACCGCTGTGAAAGTTGTGTGAAGATGTCCAGGACGGATGAGAGTTGATGTTAATATATTCATTAATGAGCAAGCTGTTGAAATCGCCACCTTGCACTGTGCATATTTAATTATTAATTAATTACTAATTTTCTTAATCTCACAGGTGGAAATTAATATACTGTATATTGAAAAACAAAAACTTATTTATGATTGAAATGGATCGAATTGCACTTAAGACTATCCCTAACTCTGCTTATAGTAACAAGTGAGTTAGACATTCAGTCCTTAGCGCTGCAAATTGCATCATCAACTTTGGTGATTTTCAGGAGATCAAAACTGAAATGTCTGCCAACATTAGCTCTCTACCTGTGAGAAATCGAAGCTTTGGCATAGAGCTATTGAAGTTAACAACTGCAAAGCTAACTTAACCGTGTTTCCCATCTTTTTTCTATTTGATGAGTCGAGGCGGAGCTGTCGCTGCAGCTGCACTTCTCGCTATCTTCCACGTGTTGGATCTCCTGTATCTGGCAGAATGACCTGGTACCGAAGTATCTGTTCTCGTGACACCCCTAGCGTCCGGCAGAAAGAAGCAGAGCTCTACCATTGACATATCAAGTTAGATGGACAGTTTATCTACCTAACACAGACCACATAACCACCACACCAATCCTCTGAATCAGTATCTTCATACACACACACACTAATGTACATATAAAGTAAACAAACAGTCCATTTTGTTTCTGAACATGTTTAAGAATGTTGTGTGAGGAAACCTGGAGAGGCAAAGTTGAAGAGGATCGCCTGGTTCAGTTTGTTTTCATAGGCCAGGGCATATGATCATGGCAACAGCATAAAGGTTTGTGAGGCTGGGCAGACGCCTCTCCAGGTAGGCCACTGCTTTGTCTATACTGCCTGGCAGACTCTGGACAGAAGGAAAAGAAAATTAATGAGGAGAGATAACCACATCCAAAGGCTCAGTGAGTGGCAGACAGAGAGGCGGAGTGGAGATCGTGCTCTCATTTTGCAGTAGTGTCTATCCAGCTGAGCCTTTTATTTTTCAGGTAACTGCTGTCTTTTGTACTCACATTAGGACACACTCCCACATCAGAAGCAGAGATAGCTTCTTGCTAAATTTGGTGTAGGTAAAGTGGTTAGCTGAAAGTCAAGGGCAGGTAGGCAGTGATCTGACCATCAGTCGCTAATCTCGACAACCCAGCTATATTCTAACTAGGGCTGAGCGGTATATCGGTATACCTCATTATACAGATAATTTCAAAAGAGATATGAAATTAGACAATACCGTTTATACCGATATAGTTTGATGTTGAGTTAATGTTTCCGTATAGTCCTGCCAGCATTTGCTCCTTTCTTCCTCACCACACAGCACCGCCCCTCCCTCTGCATCTGCACACAGCCGTCTACTCAAACTCTAACAAGATGGAGGGAGACAGAGTGCTGGTGGACACTGTTAAAGACCTGGCTTGTAAAAAGAAAAGCCCCTATTCCACTGCATGGTACCAGCTTGACTCGCCTTTTTGGTTTCCGAGGTGTAAAAGCTGTACTTGTACCTGCTACCAGGTACTTTTTTTCATATCACCTTTGTCTTATCAGTCTTTACATTCTGAGTAATGTTGAAACATTTTAACTTAAATCAAGAGACAGCTTTTTGTGGATCGCTGGTGTGTGCGAGCGAGAGGGAGGGAGTCCTGTCCATTTCAGTCCTGTCTTGTGTTCAGTCTGCCCAGCGTTAATTTATTTACTGTTGCCTGTCTTTTGGTTCTGTACCTTAGTTCCTGTCTTATTCTGTAATTCTCTGGTGTTCTGTCTAATCCTAGTTTCAGTCCTGCCTTGCTCCATTAGTTTTCAACTCCCTGCCTCTGTATTCGTGTCCTGTGTTCTCGTTTAGGTTTTGTCTGTTATGATCCCTGTGTTATATAGGGTCGGTGTTTATCTGTTTACATGGGTTTCTGTTTCTGGGGTTAGATTCTTGTCTGGTATTTTGTAACATGTGTTCTGTCTGTTCCCCCAGTAATCTGCCTGCCTGCCAGTCTGTTTTCCCTGCTGTCTGCCTGCCTGCCTCGTTAGCCTTGATCCCTGTCATCTGTGTTGCTCCCGCCCTGCTCGTAGGTTTGGTTTTTCTGTTCGGTCCCCGTCCGGTCATTGTTGTATGATGTGTGTTCTACCATGTTGGATATTGCCAGTTTCCAGTACCCGTGAGTTTTGTTTTGCCTGGTGTGTTTGTTAAATAAACTCTTGAACTGAATCTCTGCTTGCAGTGTTGTGCATTTGGGCTCTCACCTGCTTTGCGCACCCTCGACCCTGACATACGATTTTAAATACGCCTAGTAAAAAAATAGAAGATAGTTATCAGACAGGCCAAAAAAAAAAAAAAAAAAAAAGTCTCCAAATCAACCCAAATACTTAACCCAGAATTTCAGCTTTTTGTCAGGATTTCACGGTTGAGTGCAGAGGATGCAAGACACTTGAGCAGAGACTCAATTCAGGGTTTTTAATCCAAATGAAAACAGGTTAACAGGCAGTTGACTGGAAAATC